AACTGCGATGACGTAATGAAATCGTTAGTACTCGTATCAGGCATGTGCCATAAAAAGGGTGTACCATGTAAACCGCAAACACAAGGCGCGAATGAAACGCGCCATAGAAGACTTAAGTTCTTCTTACATACTGCATTAACGGATGATGCAGATGATTGGCCGTACCACCTTAAGTGGATACAAACACAAATGAACGAGTGTGCTGATCCGGTCACAGGTACAACACCCGCTCACTATTTTCGTGGCAGATATAGTGAGTTACAAATAGCTTTTGACAAGGACGAACCTAATCACCATGAGTCACCATGGTTAGCGAAGGTACAACGTATTTATAACGTTGTATATCCTTGCTTGCGTGAAACACGCAATATTGCCGTATTAAAAAGGCAAAATAGATGGAACGCTATCAAAAAGATAGCAGAGTATCAGGTTGGAGACAGAGTTAACATCCGTCAACGTAATTCCGATGCTACTGTATTAACATCTAAATGGATAGGACCATATATAATCTCTGTAGCTGACCTTAAAAGTGGAACCTACGAGGTAAATAGCCCCGATGGTTCTAGTGCGCTTAATATAGGCACAAGTCGTATTCCGACTACAGAGATTATACTTGCAAGAAGACATGACTCTAATGCCCCTCTTGATCGTTCTGAATTTAAAGACATTATATGGAGATCGGATAAGGGAGGCTATACATACTATCGTACACGCTTATAGACGGTACAATAGCTGAGTTGACTTCAGATGCTTTCGATAATCAAGACTATTTAAAAGCCTTTAATCGAAAATAGCGCCTGCATAAGTCACAAGCTGAAAACGATAGCATGTTTTCATCGTCTGAAGGCACGGAAGTTAAAACTTACCCACCAACAGCATTTATCCCGAGCTTTAATGCTCACCCTTCATATGTGCTTAAGACACTGAAACATAAGAAACATCCAGTCGACCACCACGGACCTACTGGACCTAAGCCCAAAACTCACAGGCTAACCGAGAACGCTTAACTTCTCCGCCTGAGAAGCATTAACTGTACGATATGCTACTTAATGTTTTCGACCCGTTTTTCCTTTCTCGCTTTTTGACCAATAATCAGCTTGAGTGAGCAACTTGCTTCTCCTGGGTCTCAAAGCTGGGTAGGGGCTATGTAATAGCAGGGCCTCCACATTAGACTCTATGTTATAAACGTACTCTTAAGCAGTACGTATACTCTTAATAGTACAAGGAACATAAGTTTCCTAAATGGTTTTTAACGGTTTTATTAATTAATACCTTTTCCATTTTACATATCAGATATTTGGACAAGGCCATTAAAAGGCCCCAGTAAAATACCAAACATAAGATTTGGTCTAGTTCTATTAATAGAACTATATTTACTTTTCAAATCTATTTATATCTGAATACTTCGGTAGCGAGATAGCTCAACCGAACATAGGTTTCTAAGGACTATTCGCGTTGCTTAGTTTATCCTCCGTTCAGCCAACCAGATGTGCCAGTCTGATGAAGGCTAAGTCGGTAATTCTTGATAAGTGGAAAGTTATTGCTTAAAATAATAACAAAAGACATCAAGAGTATTTTCTTTTCCTTTTACTATTTTTTTCTAAAGATAGGATTTTATGAGTCTCTCGGATTCGCAATAGAGCGACAACGAAACATTAAATAAAATCCCTTCGGCTAAAACAGTACTTAGAGGATTATATATAGGCAATGTCTCAGCCTCACAATCCCTCAGAGTATTGCTGTTTTCACGAGGCATACCTAACTTTACCAAAAGACTCATTTCGTTTATTTACATCGAATTTCGAGATACTTAGACTTAACCTACGTGTTTAATTACTCTAAGGCGTTAATATCGCCTTGATAGACCGAATCTTACAAAAGAGTATGGATAACGTCAATCTATCGACTAGTGCTGGATGGGGATAAACTGGTGCCTGTTGTTCATGGAGAAGCAAGCTCCGAGATGTTCGTGAAGAGTCCTTATGCCGTGATAATCATGCCGATCCAATTGGGGGTAGATTGGGGCCCATCGAAATACGTCTTATCAGAGAACTGATACATGCAAAGTGGCTGAACGTGAAAGTCTTTATCTCTAGGGCACACAGGGCAGAAGCATCCACCAGTACGATAGTCAAGCAATTTGAACAGGAACGTGTTGGTTGCTGTCATGGCACAAAGACGGATTGGGGTGTGTTCGCGGCAATGGGGAGAGCTGTCATGGGACGGCTTGTCCCGGTCCGTGGTGGAAAGTTCTCCCCTTATAAATCGATAGTAGTATCGGCGGCAAGCGTTGCCAGCTATCTCCTTGGTTGTGAGATGTTGTGTGGTATTATGTCGAATTTGCTCGCGGATCTTACGGACTTCTTTGTGTTGAGGTGTGCACCCGCCCTTTGATTCTAGATAAGCGTAAATACTGAACGGAAATTTGTCTGGAGTTCTGTTACATGTCCAAGCGGGTCTCATAAGTGGGGCGAGTGGGTAGCAAGGCACAGATGAGATATTTGTCTGGAATATGCTCGCCGACATCTATGAGATCTTGGCGTAGTTCCTCCAGTTACTGCATACTCTGTTCAATGGAACCAGTGGTTGTGAATGTGATGGGGCGCTTCATGGCATCCCAGAATCGATCTTGGGTGCCGGTATTGTTAGTAACACACATATAATTAAAAGATTCAGATGGTGTCTTAGAGTAATGGTTTTGGTAAACAGTGGTGACAAGCTGCTTTTCGATGGAAGCTATCATTATACGTCTGCACCGGGGATCAGCGAGTGGAACAACACCACAAATCTGCTCACAATCTGGATGTAGTCTATGAAGTACGCCGAAGTGCGCAAGTTTCATTTTGAGGCCCATGATCCATTTACTGAAGTTTTCCCAATTCTCAAGTTTAGTGCGGTTGTATATGTCCTCATACTTGGGGCACTCAGAGAGGGGAATAGCTGGGTCGGTGGCGGTAATACCATATTTTTCCGCATAGCATGATGAATCTACCTCGATAGCACCGGAGTAGTTTAGCGATCTTGTCCAATGTCTCTGGCAGTATGATACGAGTAGTGTCGAGTTCGAGTTGAAGACCAGAAAAGTTATCGGTAGAGTTCTCGGACTGCTCGTAGAGACGCGATTGAGTTTCTGTTAGGCGGTCTGTTAGTTGTTTGTGGTCGATTTGTAGTGATTCGTTTTTAGCAAGAAGCACTTCGTGTTCATCGCCTAACTGTACATTATGACGTTTGTAATTGTCGAGATCGGCTTGAACATCTTTGCGTTGTTTGTTTGCATGATGCAGATCACTATGTGCCATTGTAAGACGTGCTATTACTTTCGCAGAAGAGCCAAATATTTCATCGTAGGAGATGCGGAGATCCATGACCGTCATGTGACCTTTGGCGGATTCGAGAGTGGTGTACACAGGTAGTTCTGGCCAGAATTCACTCGCGAAGGCTTGTGCCTCGTTGAGAGAGTTGAAAACCTTGGGCCAGTTGACGACCTCCATTGTGTTACATGTGGGATTGATTGATTACGTGTGTAAAGTATTAGGGACTGTAGCCAATCCGTAAGTCTGATTGGGTAATGGGGTTGATGTTTAGTTGAGTTGGGTTGATGTTTATATAGTGTTTAGTTGAGTTGGGCTGGTGTTTAGATGGGTATTAGTTGATGTTATGACTTACTATCGTGTGAAATTCGAGGCCCATAACCTGTTCGACGAATGTAAACAGATAGGAAGTAAGTTTGTTTAGTTTCCCCTACTGGGGTCAAATAGGGTTCTACCGTTTAGGGCGGGAACCTCTTTTGTTCTTGTCACGGGTGTCATATTGCTAGTAGCATGACACCTTTCAGTTCATGTACCGAACTATATATATTCTTGAGATTTTCACTGACTGTTTGTTGTGTCCAAAAACGTCAACTCATAGGCATTATACTTGATGTGGTAGTTAGTTCACTCAATCTCCGCTCCTGCCTCAAGTTTTGCATAGTGAATCAAGAAGATCTACATAGGAACACAGTAACCATTTAAGAAGACATCTACCAGGAGTCCGTGCTCTAATGGGAGGTGCAGTTTTGTTCACCAATCGTAACTGCCACGAAATCGCATTTCAACCTCAATCTACTTTAGCTTGAACTAAGCAGGTTCCCCACGAGTATCAAATACTGATCAATCCGCCTTGAAATATTCATAGGAGCTCATTTTGATCATAGTGGATTAGAAGCACTTTTAACCACATGGTAGACGAGAGAAGTAATGTCTCAATTTGATATGTTTCAAGTTTAGCATACACAATTTTGATGCGTTCAGAATCAATACAATACTGGTAAACTGCATCGATCGGTTAGTTTCCCCGCATCAGGCAGCCGGGTCGTCACGACACATGATTGAATAATTAAGGCGACTATAAAAGTGTATCCGAACTAACCAAGACACTTGTTGTCGCAAACGATCGAATCTACGTCGCTGGACAGGATCCTTACAATACCCAGGAATCAAAGATCTGTTTGCGTTCTCATGGTTGAACCGTGAAGCAAGAAATCAAATTTTGTAAAGAAATCAAATTTCACCTTTGAGTCAATTTTTTTGCCAGTGAAGAAGTGGTGGCTTAGGAGTAAATATTGGAGCTTCGACATATGGCTCTCGATTCGCGATGCTAATGCTCTTACATTCATTACATCTGTCATCGTCAGGTACTATAGCTAATTCTAAGTTCGTGAGCTAGGCTTGGGTTCTCAGGGATTAGAGGGCTAGGGGATTATTTTAAAACGGTATAGCTGCTGATAGTAACAGCTTCTCAAATGTATTCGAGGTGTGAGGTGTCGCTTAAATCATCAGAATGCATTTGACTTGTATTCTGTGTACATATAACCAATATTGCTAGCAGTAAGCTCGTCTTTACCACTCACTCTGCTGTACTACCAGATCATATTGCAACTTAGTAGTGCCGAAAGGCGAAATAGGGCAAGTACATACCAATTTCACGTCAACTTAAAAGCAGTTCGGACATATTTAAAGCAAATGTGGTATGCACGCTAGACATTGAACTGATCGCATGGCCCCAATAGTGTCGAGACAAGTGAACATAAGTTACTTAATTTATCTTTAGTCGTGGTTAATGTCATGATGACTTCTAAATTCCATGCTTGACTCGCATGCTAATCATTTCAAAGAATTTCGCGTTCTTTGGCGGTATTTAGGCCTGCGTGACCGCTTCGGGCCTGTCGTGGTGAAGGAAACCTTTTCCACCTTTCATCATCCACGCATGCATCTGCGTCTGCCTGCTTTTCGGCCTGTGTCGCTATCTTTGTGTCTGAATGTATATGACTTTGGGTTTGAGGTGGTATGCCATTCAGCGTATTGTGCCGTGTACTCGCATGCGAGAGCATATACGGGTTTGTACTGGAATGTGGGGGGGCACTCGTAGCATCCTCCAAGGAGCTGGCAGTGTTAGTTGGTATGTTCATTTCTTCTAAGACGTGCTTAATATGCACTAAAGTGTTGTCCAGCCCCACGATTTTAGACTTTAGCGTGTTCACTTCTTTAGTGAGCGAGTCTACCAGAGCCAACAGCACTTGTTGACTTCTATCCGTTGGCTCTGGGTATTGCACAGCGGGGCCGTTACAAATGGGTCTATGCGACTCAGGCTCAAGAATACTGCATAAATTGTTTTCACTATCTGATATGGTATGTACGCTGTCCGCGATCGGTGTCGGTGACACGTGTGTGTGTGTGCACGTTGAGGAAGAGCTGGGCGAGTTCAGTAGCTCACCAGCACGCTTGCCCTGTACCCTGAACCCTCTCGGAGGGGTTTGTTGTCTCTGTGAACGTCTCCTAAGAACTTCAATCCCACCTCTAATCCTACTTCGTAATTTCTGCTTTTTGTTACGCCCCCCTTCGGTTGTGTTTCTACCACTGTGGGTATCGGTACCGTCTTGCTTTGTACCGTTATGCTCAATGTTTACCCGATCAGATTTAGCAATTCGACTAGCTGTTGCTGCTTCCGAATTCTCGCTTTCCTTGTTTTCTTGTGTTGTTGATCGTTCCTTGTGCGGTGATGGCGTGGGTTCTTGGAACTTGCTGCCTGTAGCGTGTACAGTAGGCGATACGTTAAAGTCGGTATCCGCCGAGTTCCCTGAATTTCTATCGGATGACGCATAGACTACCGTCTTCGTATCCGTTGCACTGGCGTTTTCGGAGTTTGGCTTCTTGCTACACGAATAAGTCTTACTTAACGATTCATCCCTTGCAGGGGCGCCCATATCCCCTTTAGTTCCAGACTCTGATTTCACAGTAGAGGGGACAGTCGTTGCTGGCGGCAACAAGGGAGTGATCGCGTGTCGTGCTTGATAAGGAATACGGCCATTGTGCGCAATCACTCGGCCGTATTTGTTGCTGAGAATTTGTGTCACCTCGCTCAGAGACAGATTGGAGACTGCGGTGGAATATGAACCGAGGGACGATTCGTGGCAGATTAGAATACAGTGTGAAAGAACGACAGGGCTTTAAAACAGGTTTGTTTCAGGAGAAGCAAACAGAATTCGTGACTTTGCTCAGCATTGCACGTTAGACAATGACAAGAACATACGTAATTTTGCTAGAAAAAAAATTTAGAAAATAACCAGACTGCCAATACACACAACGACCTTCTCATGCAGTTGATAAACGAATGTATTTATCATGCTACGCCAATCAGTCAAAACAGCTGAGCTAACCGCAACCTACGAATATGGATTACTTACACCGCTCTCGCACACATAACTTTAACCTACAACCATTGCACCCGGGTGTACGAACATGTCGTACAGATACAGGAGAGCCAAAGGACTCTACTCTACATTTATGAACATTGTAGATACATACACATTACAAATTTAGGCATAATATCGAGGCACGGGTTTACCGGTTTAATATATGACGCAGAATCATGTCATCACCATTAGTACTAAAGCGTTCGCAGACGCAAAAAAAAAGAACAACCCCCCTGGATTGTCAATACAGAATTCCACGCTAGATCACACAATATACGTATGTCCACTGCTATTCCCATTTGGCATGGTTGATCTGGCCATTTTTTGACAAAGAGTTCAAGGCGACAGACGTCACAGCAATTCAGGCGAATTGCAGTCATCTCCACACCATGCGTCAAACAGACACAAGAAATGTTTGAGATGTCACCCAACAAAAGGATCGCCTTGCATTCGACATACGCTCAGACACACATGTGACGCATATAGGATAAGCCACCCACAGAGCTCACTGTTGTCTCGGTGAGCTGTATCTGTCTCAACAGCGAGAAGAATCATATAGCAAACACAGACAGCTATGGACACAGGTATATCTTCGAGACATGTTCGAATATAGAAAAAAAATGTACACCACACACGCACACATGCCTACAGGCTTACACGTACCGTTATCAACACCTGTGGATTTGACCATGTGGCGCAGATAGGTCAAGGCCACAGGGCTCACTGCTATCTCGGCAAGCTGCATCTGTTTCAACACCAAGAGTACGCTAGGGATGTCCTTGATGTTCTTGAGCGAACTGTTGGAAAGCACGGAAATGGGTGGAAAGTGTGAGTTGGACCAAGTGAAGAGGTACACAGGTGGTACAATGCCTATGCTTATCTGTACAAAATGAAAATAGAAATCAAATATACACTCGAACTAGTTTCAAAACTTATGTACATGTGAGTATGCAAGTGATATAACGGACACACTTCGGCTATTTTTTCAAAACTTGTACCTAAGCGTATTTAAGTAATCTAATGTGATGCACAGACTTCAACTTTTCTTGTTAAAACTAGTATTCAAGTGATGTAATATAATGCAATGTACACACTTCGACTTCTCTTTTGACAATCAGCGCACATGGGTGTGTGTAAGTATGCGAGTAGACAAAATTTCAGCCACCTTTGATACAACTACTACATGTCTGATGTAACCATACGACTACATACATCAGCCCACCTTATCACACTGGTGTACAAGTCTGGATACAAGACATCTACTACATGTCTGATGTAACCATACGACTGCATACATCAACCCACCTTATCACACTGGTGTACAAGTCCGGATACAAGTGCCGCTTTTGCGTCTTGGTATGCATCTTCGGGAACACTCTATTCACCATCTCGTCCCGGCCAGTCCGTGCCACAATAGCCAGTACTAGCTTGATATGCACACCGTTAATCGGCTTGTCCTTATGCAACGACAGCTGTCTGAGCACCTCTAGCGCCCCGTCACAGTCATTGACCACACGCAAACCCTTCAGAAGTTGCTCATACAGTGCCTGTCGCTTAGCTTGCAGCAATGGGATTTGCGGCATCGCAAACAACACACGCCTGAGTGTGTGTCGGTCAGCTATCTGCATCGCATGCACTAGCAACCGCTGCACATTACCCGTCGAGAGAGTTTCCAATGACTGTGCGGTAGTAGCTATTTCAGAGTGCGAGCGAGGCGCTTCGGTAGCAGTCTGTACGATATCAGCATCTTTGTTCGCGTACTTGTCTTGACTAGCAGGCAGAGTATCTCCTTCCGTGTGGGTGTGTGGTGGTTGTTGGTGTTCTGCATGAGACAGTATTTGCGATACTGGTGCGTCAACCTCGAAAGGGGTTGGATGGGAAAATACCCGGATACGATCCAGCACATCCTGTGGCGCGTTGTGGTACGAACAGCGGCTAACAATATCAGCCACTAAGGCATGGGGGACACTGGGTATGCTCTCCAGTGCGGCGATACACTCATCGTACATCTTGAAGGCGGCCAAACCAGACGCCACAGTTTGGTGTAACCTGTGTCAAGTATGTGATGCGAGAGATAGCAAGGGTGCGAAAGAGGAGTGATTTGTTTAGGAACCCGACAATGGTTACTTTCGGTCAGTTGATTAAATGCCGTAAATTGCCTAATCCAGGCCATATGTATGCCTACTTCACGAAATCCGCAGAGTGTGGTTTGTGAAGGAGGTATATGCGAGAGCTCCACTGAAAATGGAGCTTGATCGAAGAATCGCGGCCTTTGAAACATTCCGATAGCATGACTGGACAACCCCTTGTAGTATTGCTTTGCTTTGAGCTCCAAGTTTGAACATATGGATAAATTTGAGTGCATATTCTTCACCCCAAAGTGTAGTTTATTCCTCGGAATTGAACTACAAACAACCTCAGTACAGTCAGACACGAGTTCCCACTCAAACCATCTGCCTACACATTGTCATTCCATTCCATACAACCACACTACTAGAAAGACAGAGAATAGGAATAGGGGTTAAAGCGCAAACAATCTACCTGAAGTCGCTGTTGTCTATTGCGCCATTCGAGCAATGCTGCAAACATTTCTCCCACGTTTGCACGAAAACCTCACGATGCCCCACTAGACTCGCCTGCGCCAATGTTTCCAACCACGGGTCTAAGCCCAGATTGCGGTCTATAGTAGCTTCTAAGTACTGCTGCAACATCACCACACGCCCGCGAATGATCAGGTTTCTACCAAGGATTCGGTAGGTATATGCATCGGGCCGAACTTCGGGATTGGGGCTGTCAGCCATATCTAGAAGGGTCTGTACGGCGTTCCTCAGTCGGAAATTATCACAGTAGGCGTGTAACAGCATGTTGTAACTGGATTTGCGAACGAAATTTTTATGAGCTACACGTTGAAGTTTGATAAGAGAAAGCTGTGAAATTCGTATAAGATGGTCTGGCTTATATTAGGATTGTATGATGGTTTGTCACCAGCGCACAGGTTATGGCGTTTTAGAGTGTGTATACTGATACGGAAACAACAATGCATATATATAGACCCATATACAAGCGTATTACTATATAATATAAGTATGCCTTTACATTTGAATACGTACAAGTAGTTGCGCTAGTACGTACTCAATTGTATTGATGCGAGAAATCAGCAGCCAGGAATTACGCTGAAATGTCAAATGATCAGAATTACACTTATATCACCATGAGATTCACACTCAACTCTCACGCCGAGATTACGAATTATGAAGTGTTCGAGAATAAACATTCAAGTCCAGTATACATATACACACGCATAAAAATTCATCCAGACATCCGTAAGCCTTCAGGTCTTACCTTGTGGTGTCCACTCCCACTTCATTCTGCATCTCCCCTATCAGCCGCTCCACATAGCGCACCGCCGTGGGCATAGGCGTCATACGGCGCATAGCAGCCAGAACTGTGTTGTGTGTCTTGCGGTCGGCTTTGATATCCTTGGCGTGCCTAAGCTCTTGAAACCACAACTGAATCGCATCGTCGATGTTTCCAGCGCGGGTATGCATGCCCAGCATGATACGATACGATTCGTTGGTGGGTCGACCGGACGCGAGAGTACCTGCGGAGGAAAATAAAGTGATAGATATAAGTATAGCCGTGACGAGTGCACATGGACGTGTAAGTGTATATGTGTATGCAAACGGGTGCTTGCATGCGCATGTCCAGGTACATGACTTCGATATGACCATACACGGATAGACTTGCAAACACAGCTATAAACAAAGCGCAAATGCAATATTGAACGAAACCATGCAAAGCTACACAAAAACATATGCACGTAAACAAACCCGCATGTCCAGTCAAACAAGCACACTCCAAAAGAATGATACGAGAAAGATGCCTAAACAAAAACACACACACATATATATTTTACGACACATCAAATAAGTGAACGGGACGTAAAAAATAAGTACTTCTAGATCACTCACAAAAAACCCAATCCAATACACAATCAAATACAGGCAAACTCATACAAGCACATAACCTCAACCCAGTTGTATCTGTGCAAAGGAATACATATAGATGCATCAACAGCATAACCTGAAGTAGGATGCTTCGTATGATACACTTAAACCTATGCAAAGGACTGCAAATAGAATACATCGACGGTAAAACTCGAAGTGGGCGCCTCGTATGGCACAACTATCTCATATAAAACATTGAAACCGAATGCATTGAAGTAGACTTCAAAGTGGGTAGCTTTGTACGGCACAACTATACCCATGCCAAACATTGCAAACCGAATACATTGTAAGTGAACTTCGAAGTGAGATGTCTTGCATGGCACTATTGTATCTTTACAAAGGACAGCAAATGCAAACCGAGTACATCGGCAGTATACCTCGAAGTGGGATGCTCTGCATCCTCTTGAAGAAAGCCACGGCGGTCTCCGTGTGGCCAGCTTTGCTGAGTCGCAGGAGCACTTCGTTGTTGTACCGAACATTGACGCTCAGATGCTCACGGGACACCGACGGAGAATTTAATCGTTTGGTGGCAATTTGGCGGTCCCCAGCACGCACAGGTGCACTGGCATGAGCGTCTGTACTAGTATTCGTCGCTGATGTCACCGTACCGGTTTCAGTGGCATATAATAACGGGACATCGAGGCCTCTCTGGCGCGCGTGGCGGATGATCGCGGCGCCGGACTCCATCATGTTTTGCTCGTACACTATATTGACTGGAGATTAGATAGGGATTTGGGGCAAGTTGAGGAAGGTAAAGTTAAAATCTCTTGATAGTAGGAATATTTGTTTTTGAGAAGAAATCAGTGGTATATTTCGAACACACTGTAGTTTGTGAGATATATGGGAACTGAGGCAGAGACTATCATCCCAATGTAGGGCGAGAGTAGGTGGGTGCAATTATTCATGATAATCACCACACACTAAATTTGTGGAAGTATGCGTCTGTAGTATTCATTCCTACACAGTATCTAGTGCACATAAATAAGCCGAGTACACTGGGTCCCCGGAAGATGTGGGTTTAACTCGGTCTTACGAGTGCCTCAAAGTTCCATAGTCGAGAATACGTTTAGTTGCAGATGTCAATCGAAATACATTCAAGTATTGTATATCAACAGGAAACATGTTTAGGTGCGGTCACCAACCGGAGACACGTTCCATCACAGCAACATATCAGCCAGAAACAAATTCAGCTAAGGGTATACTCGCCCAAGTATATAAAGCACTGCACACTATTTCGAATGGACCTTTCACTCACACACCTAAGCTCTGCAAGGAATCGTCGGCGAACTCTAACTTCTTGGCTAACATTCGGTGTGCTATGTTGACTGCCTTATCCACATGATCCGTTTCCATATACAGCTAATGAGAGTTTTGTGGATCGCAGATTTATGAGGTTAGTCGACATCACACACATACCATCAGCGTATGCTTAATGCAGGATGAGATAGATTGACTGTTGCAAGGCACGACTTAAAACACATGTACAGTACAGATTGCACTAACTCGAATTTTTCTGATCACTGGCTAAAGCAGCTCAGCAGATTTTGTACTTGACTCTATCAAATCAAGACGTCCAGCCTGTTAGATGATATTGGATTATCTAAGGTAGTTGAAAAAACCCAGAGACACAATCCTACACACACAAATAAAGTACTATATGTATATAATAATATAATGATGTATATGCAAATTCTGGATACAACAAGTCCGTTTGGATCGACTACTAGTAGGACTGCCATCTCAGAATTCTCCACATGAACCCTGAACCATAAGAGGTGGGCATGGCGAATCCTAATTCTCCGAAGTTGCACTTTAATGTCGAATAGACATTTATGTTTTCAGACATGATTACCTGAACAGTTAAAATGTGCCGAAAAGGAGGCAGTTACCAATCTCCCTTAGATGTCTATGGCGACATTATTGACAACAAACAGATTAATTCCGACAAAGTAAATCTAGCCTGGTCCGTATGGGTGCCCCATATATAAGTATGAGCGAATACAAACTCGATATTATTAACACGTACTTGTAATATCGAATCACGCAAATAAGAAGCAAGAATCTGATCACACTTGTAACCGAACCATGCGCTATTTCACATTGACAGACAAGGACATACAGTATCTAATTGTGAATTATATATCAATGATCACTCCTTTCTTTGAGTATAGACCTATGAACGTAAATATCAATAGTGTCCGCACATGAAGCAGCAATTTCTGCGATGACGCTTTGTTACCCACTCTCGTAAGGCATAGTCCTATGAATGTACCTATCACTAAAGTGCCCATACCTGAAGCAGCAGTCGATGTGATTTCGTGTTGTTCTCCATATTCAGTGCGCTCATTATTGGCACTAGCTCCTGCGCGCCCGCGACATTCTTGTGCTTGAGAAAGAACGACAGCAGTGTGTTCCAAGTCCCATGTACAGGCTATTTCAAGAGCGAAGAAAAACAATAAATTCCCGAGTCTTCAGTTGCCAATATAAAGAGCTACAAACTGTTTCTTTTTTGGAAGTATAATCAAGTGGGAATTTGGTGGAAGTACAATACACACAGGGCAATATATTTCGACGATGGAGACTATTGAGACAAGTTTAGCTGACCATACTGCGGAATTCTCACATTAAACAACCAAATGAGACAAAAATACCTGTATGCACACAAATGTCCTATCACTATTTTTTAGAAATAAGTCCTTACCATACAGAAAGGGACAAGCGGCAAGGGCGCAAGATAGTTTAGACACCAATTTTATTCATAAGGTGCAAATAGGTACACATATGCGAATCATGCCCTTATCATGAAGTACAGACACACTGAAACACGTAGTGCAGATGAAAAGGCATTCAACTTTACTAGGACTCCTAGCGGCTAAAAAAGCAATGCGTAGATACACTGACTGGAGTCCAACTTTCTCAGAATGAGATATATGGTAAGAGTGTTGACAGAAGATACAATCTTAATTTAGAGCACGAGCATGGTAAAACAATACATAGATCCGAGACAAAAAAATGGTACAAATACACACACCAAGATGCCATCCTCGAGCATATCGCGGAGAGTAGTAAAGGCTCCTTTTCTGTTGTTCTCTGAATTTGAAGAGGTATTACATATGCCACGGTTGCATGCAGAGTGAGTCAGGAGAAGCATTGACATACATGATATTCTTTTATATATACAGTTATATGTTGGTGAGCATTAAGGTGGGTTTCAATTACATACAGTACTGATTTTTATATATTAATCGGTCAAATATCTGTATTTAACCAAGTATTCTCTTAAGAGATACTGCTAAGTCTATATCAAATTCTATATACATATATTTACACACACATACACATACCTATACATACATGCTGGGTTTGCCTGCTGCAATTTACATCTTTAATTTCGGTGCACGAAGGAGTATTCAAATTTATAGTATATTAAGCGTGTGCTTACATAAACATATTAGTAGATAATTGAGATAAGTACATATCTTCCACGGGTGCGTATGATCAACTAACACGCTTATATACAGCCCAACGGGGTATGGATACATTTGTAAAAATATATCCGACTACATATACGCGAAGACAATTACTGCTTATCATACTAGCATAAGCACGACTTACTTGGATTTATGAACCAGAAAGAACTCTATCGAATATTGAACACAGACAGTTGTACTTACCTAATAATACATAGATGTAAGCAAATATATCTCGAAAACATGCACTTGTTCAAATTATATCCTTGTCATCTATTCATCTATTTGGAGGCATTGATGTCACCATACAAATGATTGGATATATACTACGTTTGAATCTCATTTACATAGGTAAACTATATATACAACTATATACATAATATTACTCAATATAACAGCTCTGATGCTCGCATGTATAATTGGCCTCATATATAGACCTGAAAGCATTGATGCGAATTGCATCTAGACATATTTCCTAGAATATGCTATACGCGGCAGCAAGCTCGTGCCTGCATAGATATACTCATGCACACTCTGGGCATTTACGTGCAACGTCACACTCAGTACTCAACTCGTGTGCATGTACAATAAAACTCCAAAACCGACATATATGCAACATACCTTGCCCATAAGCGGCGATTAGTTTGACGTACGTCTGTTCATTGCGAGGGATACCCAACTCCTTCATGTGCGCCAGTACAATCTGTGCCGATCTATACGAGTTGCAAAAAATATACAGCATAAAATGAGCACATCTCTGGTCACTATAGGATGTACTACCATCTCCCTGAATAGCTGACTTGCCTTTGCTTTGACCTGGTAAGAGAATTTATATATAATATACATCAACTACATGGGAGAAATATGGAGACTCAGAATAGTCTCGCGAGCATAAAAAATGTTCCGTATTGATTGGAGGAAGACTTCACAACAACCCGGAACGTCTCATAGGACAGGAAAGCGATGATGAATGTAGGTAAGAATAACCTGCAGGGTATATATATATATAGTAGTACACATGACGGATCAGGGATTTGCACGTGATGTATACATGATGGTGTTCTCCAATGCTTTCATCTGTGTATTCATATACAAGATCATGTGTTTTTTTCGAGACGGGAGTAAACACATACGCATATAGACATATGAAAGCAGTCTATCATGCTGACATACTCAGAGTCCGGTGGTCTGACCATGCCCTGTAACATATGGTTGAATGTCTCAGTGTTGGGCTCCACCTTGCACGTGTCCAGGAACTGGAGTATAACAGACACACCCGCGCTGTCCTGTACCAGCTGGGAGACTATGTCATTGCAGGCTGGGATATAAGAGATCGAGAGATTGGTGTTGTTAGTGATACGGTAGAAAAGAAAACCGGACAATCAGTGATATACGCATAGCTGTCTAAACGTCTACACGACCACACACACACACACATATATATATATATATAAATATAAATACATATACGTAGACATGCGCAATCTTACATAGAATACTCCTCTGTCGACTAGAAGAAGAGACTACAACGACAACGACGCGTATATTGACGTATAATAGGCGTAAAAATTGGTGGCAACTGAACTATAAATCAACAGAAATACAAAATTATGTATGCGAAGAAGATATCTATGATATCTCACAAAAACATGTATCTGGTATATTTATGTATGCACAAGAACGTATGTATAATTGTATACGTATGTGTAATAATGGATTAAAGCATGTGGACACATAATCAACGGCTGTAGCCGCGTGCCTCAAGGACATATCCGTTTACAACCTACAAAGCATTGGTTTGACACTCACCGATTATTGCGGGATATGTGCTAGGGTAAATGGTTTCATATGTTTCTAAAGTGGAAGTGTAATATTATTTATTACGTTCCATGCACGAATAGGCCAAAACCCGCAGGATAACAGTAGTGTCCGAAGCAAGGCGCACACCAGAATCTTGTGCTTCATACTACACACAAGACTTCAAATCTAGATATGCCATGTACGGTCTTGCAGAGTACAGAAACATACAAGCTCACAACGCAAAAGTGGTTTCAATACACAGAAACTAAGACATATAGCATACACACTTTCATATATATATATATATATATATATATACATACATATAGGCCCAGATGAAGATATATATATAAAATATACATATAATCATATGACCAGAAATATATAACTACAAATACATATAATTTAAATATATACTCATGTACAAGTATATATATATAAAATATACATATAATCATATGACGAAATATATAACTACAAATACATATACTTCAAATATATACTCATGTATAAGTATATATATATATAATATACATATAATTATATGACCAGAAATAATTAACTACAAATATATATAATTCAAAATATACAGACTCATATATATGATTATATTAATCTACATATATACATATGTATACACATACATACATCCATACACACTTAAATACAGATATACAACATGTAAACAATACACACACGCGCGCGCGCATACATATATATATATATATATAGATATAGATATAGTATGATATAATACAATAGTAATATGGTGATAGAATACACACACACACACATATATATATATATATATTCACCTTCAATTCGCCCAGAGCCCTCAGGTGTAAATCGCGCGATGCTGTCCAGGCACTGTAGCGTGCGGTCGTCCAGCTCACATCTGGTACTCAAACTACCCAGTATCTGATAGTCATGGTGCGAAAGGGTGTATCCTTTGGCCACTGTTTTATCCGCTAACTGCCATGCCAAGGCACAGAAGTCCTCGATAGAACCAACCAACCTCGGTTGAGTGTGTGATAGTGTGCCTGTCTGTGTTTGGCCGTCCTGCGGTGACTGTGACTGCACGTGTGTGTCTGTACGGCTCTGTTTTATCATGTATTTCTCTTGCTCCTGGTAATGTTTGATCCACGCAGGCTTAGACGCTACCGTGCACCGTATCAGTGCATCGGTCACACTTTTCGTACTATTTGTAACTTTTCTCCTCCCATTCACAGTCATTTTCGTACCGGTACCAATTCTACTCTTACCGAGTCTACCATACACACCCTTTTCCGGTACATACACCCTCGCGTCTAACTGTCTGATGATATCCTGCACGGCGGTAGTCACATCCTTGAGTTTATACGTTGTTGTCCTGCTATGACTATGCGGCGTCTGTATGCTCTGACTGTTGCTATTAGAGCTTACGGGTGCTTGCCAGTCCTTTCCCTTGTGCACTTCGCTTCTGCTGTGCGAATGGCCCGTGTGGTCGTACTCCTGGGATTGTACTGCGCCATTCTCTGCGTGCGGTTCTGCACCCTTGCGTATCCCGGTGTCCGTGTGCGATCCAACTCCACTTTGCACACCAGTACCCGCGACTGTCTTACCCTCATCGTACGCTAATGATGTTTGTGTGCTAATCACACCTTCCTTGCCCGTATTGATAACTTGCCTTTGATGAATGTTTACTTGGTTATCTTCCACCAACTGTACACCTTCTGCAGCCGGGTTTGCAGCGGTAGGCACCGGAGTGACCTCTACCTCACCGCTTATAGTCTCTACGCCGCAATCTGTGCTATAAATAGGTGCAGAGGTGTCTTTACACAGTGAAGACTCTTCGCAACTACCATTACTACTAATAGAACTGGTATTGGCTTGCACGTAGTACGATCTAGCCCCTATCACGGGACCACGCGCCAGAGGCTGTTTAAGTACATTAACGTAGTGCTGTATTCCCAGATATGAGAGCGTGTATATGGAAGTTGAGATCAACGGTTGGATCTGCTGGTGTGTGTGTGTGTGTTTGTGTGTGTGTTTAGATGTAGTTGACTGTGAATATGGGCGAATCGGCGTGTTAGCTGTCGTGTGTATTTGAAGTCGAAGGCCTGTATGTGTGTGTATGTTGTTATAGATAGATGCCTGGATACGTGGTTGTGTGTGCGTACGTAGCGTATTCAACACCCTACCACCATTTATAGCCACACGAAAGTCCACTGGACTCTGGCCGACAGCTGCCACATTGCTATTGCACACTGAAAGCGTTCTCCTCCCCAATGATCTATCCCTTATAAAACCTTTCTCGTTACTAATAGAACAGTACAGTGACTGCTTGACCTGGCTTCCTGCTACTTTCGTGTGCACTAATCTTCGATTAACCATCCTAGAGCCCACACTCTTCCCACTCCATGCTGTATAACATCGTGCATTCGGGTTGCCGCGACATTTGCACGCAGGTGACAGACTAGTCCCTGTCACTGTACTACTGCTGAAGTGGCGAGCACATTCACTCCCACCGGTTCTATTTTTAATTCTAGAAGTGATGTTAAGGTGACTTCCTCGCCCAAAACTATGGGACAATCTGCTGGTAAGTTGCCGTATATCCTGGGCTGCAAGCGTACATCGTAGTTTGTTTGCTGGGTGGTGTGGACGACACGATAGTGAATATCTAGAAATGTTGGAAGCCAGCGATCGGGCTGGCCCTGGTAGCAGCTGCATGGCTCAGAGTAATTTGGATACTGGGGTGGATATACGCTAGCATAGACCCCGAAGAAACTTTCCACACAGCATATTGCGGCCTATTTTCGTATCTAGAGTTCAATATAACTACCACTACGCAAACGACAGAATCAAGAACTATTCGTCGAAGTAGCCGCACTAGTAATTGATACTTGGCCACTAACTTCTACTTATATCGCGTGGTACAGCAGTGCCACTAGTTATGCGCTTAGATACTTGTATAGGTTTGTGTATACACGGAGCAACTAAATACATACATACCTATTACATATCTATAACAGCTGTCACAATTTTGTTTTGTGTATAAAACATCAACCGCCAAGAGCACACTAAAATATTGAAACACTCTCTCGCTATGAATATTATATTATATACAAAATAGTCCTCCGTCCACCACGCTTGTTTTCTTTCCCTATTTCGTCACGAGAAATTGGGGCCAAATAAGTACTACTCGTTCCCGCCAAAATATTCGACCCTTTTAGCAGTAAAATTAGACTATAGTTAGTAGTATCACTTTCCTAAAATGTACCGAACATCTCAACGGCTTCACAATACAGTCGCATTTAATTCAATTTACCGATGGCGATAAACCGATGTCGACAATTTATTTACCTTTTCGCAGCATCACGGGGAATACGGCAAGACAGTATTCATAAGGTCTAGCAAACGAGCTTGTAAATTCATATACTCTTGTGTAGGTGTCGGTATAACGTAGATACGTGTATACACATACATATACACACATACACACATAGCTGTCAGTATGACGGGAAAACGCCACTACGTGCAACTCACACTGGATAATGTGACGCTGTCAGAGGAGGATCTCAAGCACACTCCTTCAGCTGCAGACGGTCTAAGTGCGAGTGACGAGATGGATCTGCGCATATACGGATGTGAATATATACAGTTGGCGGGGAAGCTTTTGAAATTACCACAGATAGCCATGGCGGTCGCTATGAATATGTACCAGAGGTACTACTATCGGAAATCCATGGTTGTGCATGATTTTGAGACGTGCGCGAAAGCGTGTATATTCTTGGCAGCTAAGGTACGTCACATATGTGAATTTTTTTATGTTACAGAGATTGAGTTATGTTGGCGTTCAGATAAGGCTGTGAATCTAGAACTAGTACTAGTGATAAGATAATAGTTATGCTGACACATACGCAACACACACACCCACACACACCCACACACACACACACGCGACACACTAACACTAAACGCTAACACACTACGTACACTAACCTAACGTACTAACAACTACAACTAACTAACTACAACTACTAAGATAA